GAATGTGATTTTCATCATCCTCATTTACAATGGAATCTCTGAACTGGACAAATAATATATAATTTCTGTACCTAGATCCAACAAAACATCTTCTATTTACATTCAAGTTCACATATTTTCTTCAAGTTCCATATTGGAGGCCATCAAAACATTTTGGCTGTGCGCCTACGAATACTCAACCTTGGGTATGAGTGAAGGATAATGGACATCTAGAAGCATCTGAAAAGTTTTCCTGTAGCAGCTGGTCCCCAGCTGAAAAGGCAATCCATTATTTAATGGAAAACTGTTTTTCCTCTTCCACTACTAGGCAGATGCAGCTGTGACAACTTTCTAAACATCTTTGGCTGTATGCATGTGTCTTTCCTTCCCATGTGCACAACTGTGTGGGATTGCATCCATTATCAGTCATTTCTTAGATTTCCATTCTCTAATCTTTTATCAAAATCTTCCAGATGTGTCTAAAAAATGACATATTTCTATATACCACAGTAATCCTTAACTTTCTAAGTACCATATTTAGCATCAGTAGTGAGAGGGTGGGGGTCTCTATAACTTGCTGAATATAAAGCCCTGATTTCATTTTTGACATGCAGGTGGGTTTCACTGACTCTCGACAGCAGGCTGTTATCACTGTTGTTACAAAAACATTAAATGGCAGTATGTCTGAACCAGTTATTTTACCATAATGGTACTTGACAATTTAAAATAAAAAATGTACAATAGAAAAATATTCAATAGCTCATAAACATGAAAAAACATATTCTAGCATGCAGCTATTTCCAGATTGTCCAGTTCATGTCATGTATTTGGCAATACTGGTGAAACCCGCTGTTCCTTTGTGAAGAAGATGTGAGATGTTTATTTTCAGTCATATTCCAGTTGCATTACAAAGCCCTTTCTTCCGCAGCTCAGAATTAGCAACATCTGTCTCTTAACAATGTTTCCAAGTATGATTTTATCCTATTTTATCTTGGGAAATGCAGGCAATATCCTGATGACCTCAAGTCTGAGGAAGGTCTGTTATATACGGTTCTTTCTTTAGATAGATCTTTCATGTGCAAAGGACTTGTTAGATGGTTCTGTAGCTGTTATTCATATGACAAATAATATTTACTGAATGCCTTCAGATATACCTGTCCTTGATATGCAGAGTGTTGCTGATTAAGAAACAAATCAAAGCCTTGTCCTCCTACAATCCGAAGAGATCTTGACATACAATTAAAAACACTTTTTGTCTTCATGTTGTAATCTCTCTTGTATTTGTGGGCTGAGAGTTGGCAGTGGAGGGTTGGACTGGTGCCCCTTCTAATTCAGTTTCACGTATAAAGATTACTGCATCTCCACTTACATTTATTAGGCACTGTGCCTGCAATAACAAAGAAGGAACTTCCTCTTATACACCTGGTATTTCTTTTGAAAAACAAAATAAAACACCAATGTTCTTATAATTCACATAGAACTTTAAATGTATGAAGTACAGTTCTCCCTCTGTTCTCGCGGGGGATCCATTCCAGACACACACACCGTGCAAAAACGGAAAATCGCATAGATTCAAGCCTTATTGGCTTGAAATGAAGTGTGTTCCAATGGGGCCGAGTGGGCATGTGCCACGGGCATGTGCCCCATTTTATCCCCCTCCATTTGCCTCCCATGGATAAGCAAGGGACATGGATCCCAAGTCCGCAAAAATGGAGGGAGGAGTGTAGTTCCAAAACCTTCATGACCTCTCTGGTGTCACAAGTAGCCTGGTGCTGGAAGAGGATTTAATAATAATAAATTATTATTATTATTATTTATATCCCGCCCCTCTGCCAAGCAATCGGGGCGGCGTACAACATATAAACATCAAAACAAATACAATCAAATTCAAATTTATGAATGAGCAGCACTGACAGTGACAACGACAACAGCAGTTGTCAGAACGAAACAGGAACTAGTCACCCAGAAGGGGCTTCTGAGCACAATGATGTACTATTAATAGTTTCTATGCAAACTGGCTGAGAGTGCACAAAGGTTTTTCTATCCCCTTTCTGTTATTCCTGTATTTTTGGAAACGTTCAGCATTTAGGCCACTGCTACTCTTGCCTTTTTGTTTATTTTTTTTTAACCAACATCTTTTTGAATGTAGGAGTCCAAAACTACACAGTATTCAAAAAGTTTGTCTAGGAAAGCACAGTAAGTCCATGGTTGCTTGCTGCAAGAGACTTGGAACCACTGGCCTTAAGGAATATTCCCCATACTTTTCTGCCTATTTGGGATGAGATGTACAGCTTTGTGTCAAATTTAAGTGGTTTTGCAATGTAAAATAGTACAGGTATAACCCTTAGGCATCTACCAGATGCAAAAATTTACAAGTTAAACCACTGCAGTTTGACAGTTAAACCCCTGCAGTTTGACTGTGTGCTAAGGAATGGCTCACTTCCCAAGTGCACCTGTGTATCTATTTGGAAAATTCATGGAGGGAAGAAATTGTTCCTTTTGTTTTTGGAACACCTTCAAGTGTTATGGATCAGTACCGGTAGTTTGGTTCAGGAATTCTTTGCTTCTCAGGGGTTCTTGTGAGCTGGGACTGGGTTAGCACGGAAAATTTCATTAGAATGCTAAAAATAACTGCTAACATAGCTACGTCTCCCACTTCAGATTCTTTATGTATAAAACAAGCCATGTTCTTCCAAGAAATATTTACCTGATTTTTATTTGGGTTCTCCATAAAAACACACTGTTTCATGATATATGACACAACGGCATTTCCTCCCAGGGCAGCCACATGAGCTCTGACCATTGCAAACACTTCAGCAATGAAAGCGTGCAGAAAGCCACTCACACCCCCTTCCTGTAAATAAAAAAACACACCAAGAGATTTAGTGGGAAACTCATTATTCTTTAGTTTCAAAACTATTCTTTAAAATTGCATTTATTGGTTTTGTATGTTAGTAACTCATTTCAAATTGTAAACAATGAAGAATAAAAATAACACATAACAAATACACTAAATTATGGAACTACTAACCACTTTGAGAGCATAGATTTTTGTTCTGCATTTTTTGTGGCTAATAAAGGGGGAGGAAAGGGGCCACAATTGGGATGCGAGTCTTCCACAGTGCTGTAAAATTGATTTAGCATTTTAGTTAACATTAAGTTACCAATGAATACTAAATTTATGAAAGCTAACAACTGGTTGTTTCCACAGAGCTGTGACATTTCTATTACAAAAAGTTCACTAAAGTATTGTTTAGAGATTTATACATAGTCTGAGTGCTACAAATTCAACCTCCAAACAGATGAAGCCTGATTTATTAGCAACGCAAGCAATGAAAACCCACGAATAGTATTCAAAACCATACAATGAATGGACAAACTACAGGACTCCCCTGCTTAGGGTTCAAAAATGTTTGCTGTCATCTGTTTGGAGAAAAAGTCTACAATACAGCTCTGCTGGAGAATTTGAAAAACGATCTCAGGATCAAGGCTAATCTGCTGAAAAGAGAGTTGCTTAGTACAACTTAAGCTCTACAAAGGTGGTCAGAATTTGAGTATAGTAGACATGAGTAGACAGAAAATATACAAGCCCCACCCATTCCATCATTTCTGCTATTCACTGCATGTGGAGGGTGACTTTCAGAAGAGGAATGTTTCCAGCATTCAAATGTAAATCCTGAATGGACAGAACATCTCCCTTTCAGAAAATCTCCCTCCAATTGTACTTGTAGTAGAGAGAGTCATTCCCCCTCTTCACATGCTTACTTTACTCAAATTCTGAATCCCTGCATGGGGTTTGACTTAACATGGATGAGGAACCTGCAGTGTTCCTGCTGTTAGATTTTAACACCACCTTTTCTGACCACTGGTCATGCATGCTGTCTTGATCTGTTAGACTGAGAATCCAATTAGCTAAAAGAAAGCTATGATGCCTATTCATTTAGAATGCCAGTGGTTGTCAGCTGTCTTCCACACAAAATTCAAGGTGACCTGCATACATTCAGAGACATTTATGCTTTTGGCCTATGGCCATTGAGAAAGTGTAATCTTCCATATGTTGTTGTGTGCCTTCATGTCATTTCTGACTTTTGGCAACTCTAAGGTGAAGCTATCATGGGGTTTTCTTGGCAAGATTTGTTCAGAAGAGGCTTGCCATGGGTTTCCCGACTCAGTGGATTTCATGACCGAGCTCGAAATCGAACTGTGGTCTCCAGAGCTGCAGTCCAACACTCAAGCCACTATGCCACACTGGCTCTTTCATCCTTCTGTTTACAATTAGGCACTGAGAAGCTTCTAGTAGTCCCATGGTCTATTAGGTTATCTGCTATTAAACAGGGTTTTGTCACTGTTCTTGGTGGTGGCCCCTACACTTTTAAACCACCTCCTCTCCTTAGTAAAAAAATCCAGATAAGCTGATCCATTTAAAGTGGGCAGACAAAATTGTTTTAATTAAGCAGGCCTATTGGGAGTTAATAACTGCATAGTAATTAGTCCCCATTCTCATAATTTCTGGTTTGCCTCTATTAGCTATATTATTATGTTTTATATTGTATGTTAAACTTTGAATCTCACTTTGAGTCTAATAAAAAGCAGGCTCTAATTATCTTAAGAAATTTTAAAAATTAAACAAATTGCTTTATCAATATTAAATAGCTATTTTATTTAATAAAATATCACCATTTAGTGAATGTCTGATTCCCAAGAACTTGAACATACTATATTTCAGATTCCTCCATTTAACTAAGGTCTTCCAGCCCTCAACAACGTGTTAATGGAACCATTAAAGAAAATCACATCATGGGCTGTGTTTGAAACCATAAAAAGAGCATAACTACTTATTATAGAAAAATGTACGTGACAAGTTTTGCATAGTTTAATATCCTTTTAAAAGTTATGCCAGTAAATAATGAGACGACAAAAAGAAATTGAGAAAAATGAGCAGGAATGCTAGGGGCATATATGTAATGGGCAGGACTACCACCAAAAACTCCCTAATGATTCTAGAAGTTTCCGAGTGTCTCTGTGCAGGCACAGGAAAAGCCATGTGTGTCATTCACAGAGACATGAAGAAGAATACTTTTTATCCCTTGTGCTGTATCACTGAACCCAAAAGTACCTGCTCCAGCAATTAAACTCTTAAATTATCTTTTCATAAATTTCTGTAACAGTTTCACAGAGACACCCCACCCTACCCCACCCCCCGAAATCATTGCTATTACCTAAGACAGAAATACAAACCTTGGTGTATAGCTTACCTCACGCAAAGAAGTGGTTTCTCGTATAAAAAACATATTGATTATTCCAAGGTATTTAGTTATTTTTGCCCCAGGGATAAAAGAAAGTGGTGTCATCTTAACAACTGGCACAATGGAATTAATGCCTGATGGGCCAGAGCGGTTACGGGATTGTCCTTCTGTCAGGGAACTTGGTTTGTCAATTGATACAGCTACATGTGGCAGGGAAAAAAAGAAAGAGGGAAAGGAAATAATTATTCAAATTGACTAATACATTAGTAGGTCCAACAGAGTAACCCTTCTGCATGGTTTCCATATAGCTTGGTGACAACATTCAGCTGTCTGTGATGCTCAGCCAAAGAAAGGAAATAATCATGCAGCACATGCAAACAAAAGACAAAAAGCTTGAATGGGAATTATTTTGGAAGAAGAGTAGCATTCCTGCAAAAGAAAACACTGAGGCCAGCAGCTGCACTTACAAATGATCAGTTATAAAGTGAAAACATAGAAGTGGGAAAGGCAGGGGGGCAGTGGTTGGGAAAGGTGTCACAATTTGATAAAAAAAATTCTGCTAGAGGGAATGACAGAAGTCTACAGGGAAGAGTGTGAAAGTTGACATGGTTTCTCCAGTCCAGCATTGTGGAAATTTGGGGAAATTTCTTCAGTGGATAGCTTCCAGATAAATCACCATCTTGAGTAGATAAAGCAAAAAACAGTCATACCTGCAGGCCATCCAACTACTTGAACAAAAATTAACAACTCAACACTTTCTAATTCAGCTGCCCAAAGCAGCTAATTATTGCCACAGAGGTCATGCAGGTGATCCCTGTATATTATGTGTTAAATCATTTCATGTATACATACACTTTCTGCCACTCTGTGTATGTATACCTTTTTGTTGTACAATTTCACAAGCCTATTTATCCCCTATGTATTTAATTGCAATTGATTTTTGGAGCACGGAACAGCATACTCCAAAACTGGCCCAGCATTAATTATTTTTAGTTGTTTTATTTTTTAAGGAACAGACGCTGTGTGTCTGCAGCTTTCACACTCGGACACTGATTTTGCAACGCCACTACTGGGTAGAAAGCTCCACCCATTGCCACTGAGAGATCAGAACTATGCTTCCAATGATCAGAATGTGGTAGAAATGGCCGCCTACTTGTCTTAATTGATCCACGCCTTATGGTCTGAGCTTTCAGTTTAATGAATTCTATCCAGCTGTTGCATCTGTCTGCAAAGGAACTGTAATCAACTGATGTTGCTGGAAACACAGACAGAAAAACAAAAGGAAAAAAAACAAAGAAAAAATATGGATGATACCCCTTTGCCCACTGTAGTGCTCCCTTTGGTGAACCAATTATTTGTATCCAAGAGTAACTGCCTTTCAAAGGAAACTGGACCTCAATACTCTGCCCTTCGGATTGGACATTCCTGGTGAGATAGGAATTATGCACACCTGGAAATTCATCACTGGAAAAATGTGTAGATTTTATGCTATGATTCAGAAGAATGCTTGCAGAGATGGGAATACTTTGCAACTCTCAGTAATAATAGAAGTTTGAATAGAACAGTTGTAAACTATTTAAAATAAATTGGTGCTCCTGGAGGTTTCTGGGGAGAGAATTCACTTGCTTTGATTTTGGCTAGGAAAATGATACCCCCAACATATCTGGAGACACCGAGGGTTTCAAAAAGAGCCCCGATGGTCTGTGCATTGCCACCCTTTGCTTACCCATGATATAGGTGCACCACTGGGGATGGCAAAGAATCAAGATTGTACAGACTGTTGCCTACACAAAATTCTGCAATCTTCACAAGCGAGGGCCATACTAACTGTATGTTACTTCGGTTCCACATGAAAGCCCTCTATAACTGAACCCTTTATGTCAGGAGTGGTAACTGTGTCTCTCAAAATGTTTTTAGACATAATTGCTTAGCAATGGTTATGCTGCCAGGGCTACTGGAAGAAAGGCCACACATGATCCCCTCCTCCCACTCTATGTGATCTTTGCTGGGCCCATACACAGCAGTCACCTGACTATCTCAGAAAATGTTTAGTGCCCTATTAGATGAATGTTACCATGTTTTGTTTTTTTTAAATCATGTACTTGATTGATCTGGGACCAAGCCAGGAGAGGTGAAATATCTTGCAGGGATGCAATCATTCAGTGCTGTTACCCTTCTATGAAAAATATCATTTATATTTTAAAATAAAATCAAAAAGAAAGGAAAAGATAAACTTGCACCAGGATGCACTAATAAAAAATACCCATATTGTTTCAACAGTTCCTAGGATGCAATGGAGCCTCCCTGAGAGCACTCATATTTAAGGAAATGATATGAATTTTCTAATTAATTAACTAAATTCTGGCACATATACGCTAGCCTTAGCCCCTGATGGCTTAAAGTGCTGATTAGTGATACCCATAGGGCAAGACTTCTAATGCCAGGCTGGGAGCCTCCATCAAATATGTTTTGCACCACCACTTCAGCGTGTGCACCTGAGTTTACTAGGCCAGCTCACCAGAAAACAGGAAGAGTAGTTTTTTCAAGCTCCAGTGGGATTTTTTTAATTTAAATATTTAGTTTAAAATCTTAGGATCTCCCTTTTAAGGGAGTAGATATACATAAATATACCGTGTGCCAATCTTTGTCCATGTTGAAGCCATTTTTAAAAAATGGTCACTGTCACAGTCAAAATTGAAGGGTTGGTTTACTGTTTTGAAAAAGAGAGCAACAATGTAAGATTCCCTTTTGTTACAATTTTAACTACACTCAGTGTATGTATATATATATATATTTGATGAACATATTCAGATGTCAATAAGCCACATCAGAGCATGCCTCCCAAGGTAACTGGTACATATTTCCTGAAAGATTAGGGTTACATCCCAAGTGTACCCCCAAACAACCCAGGAATGCATTCCCTGTTCTGGCTTATAGGTCAATTAAGGAAACTCACCTCTTTGGGCAGCTGGTATACCTGTGTGGGAACTTGTATTCTCCAGGTCCTCTAATAAGACAAAATGAATTCCACTGATGTGACATAGGTTAACATTAGCTATATTGATACAATTTTTTATTTTTATGTCATTTTCCAGTGAGTAATCTATTAAAGACAAATCCTGCTGTTGTAGTCTTCTGGCTTTCAAATCATCCATCTATGCTGTACAATTTATTAACCACAAGATAATGCAGTCAACCCTGTACTACAGTCAAAATTGTAACAGCTCAGGAAGTCAATTTCTGACACCCTGTTTAAAAATAGCAACAACTTTTCTAAATCTACTTTAAAACTATTGAAGGAAGAAGCATGTCATCTGTGAAGCATCCACATTTGCTGTTTACCATGTAGAGGATATACAGAACATACAGAACATCTGGTCAGCAAGTGGGATTGATGGTTAACAAAGCATAAGGGACTGATGTTAGTTCAATAGTTAAGTGACTGAGAGGCCATATGATTTAGTATAGAACGGATGGATAACTAATTATGAAACAAAAAAGCATCACAGAATAATGCAATAAATTTGTAGAGTAACACACCAAATGCAGGTGCACATAGACTGTAAAATCACCAACTAAGGCCAAACTAAAGATTTAGCAAAATACTTGCACAAACATCAATGACCCAAATATTCCCTGAAGTCACTAACTTCCTTTCAAAGTCCAGGAAGCATATGAGCATTAAAGTGGTGCTTTGCAATTAGGTTACAACTGAAGCCTTATGTTGCCAGTAGCCTGTCCCTATTCAGTCAGGAATGTGACACACAAGCCTTCAAGCATAGAAGCAGCATTCCTTCCCTCCTTTGCTGTTCCTAAATATATTTCTAGAATGATAATCCATTTTCTTCTATGTCACATTGTCCAAGGAGGCAGCCTATGGTTAGGTGATTCTAAATTCTCTAAGTTGTACTCTTTTTACAGCGTAAAGCTGTGCCACAACTTTGCCTAACAGCACTGCAACAAAAGGAAGCCCAAACAAAGCCCTAATACTTAATTTTAGCTGTAGG